GCGAGGGCGAGGGCGAGGGCGAGGGCGGGGGGGGGGAGTGAGGAAGAGGGTGGGAAAGGGAGGTGAGATGGGGAAGGGAGCTGAGGAAGAGGAAGGGTGATAGAACTGCCGAAGGGCATGGGCATGGGCATGGGCATGGAGATGAGGATGCCTATGCCCATGCCCATGGGGAAGGGGGTGAAGATGAAGACCGAGGCCTCTCGTGCTTCCCCTGGGGAGAACTTCCACGTGGCATGAGCAAGCCTGCAGCTGTTAGTACCCTGTTGTACTAGGCTGCGAGCGCCAGCGGTCCCCCCCGCCTTCTCCATCTCAGACAAGGCCACGTGGGACGTGTTTGCTCCAGAGGACACTGGAGTGTCTCAGCCCTTTGTCTTTCTCAACTTCATTCCTGGATAATCGTTCCTCACCGTGGCTTAGACCATTTTACCATCCCTCTAGATTGTAATGCTTAATCCATGTTGCTTCAAAACTTTAGAATAAAGTCCATTAGCTCAGCTGGTTGGAGGCAGTGTTTTCTGTCGCAGCGAACTGAGATTCTGGCCCAGCTGCAGGATTTTAGCATGTGGTGGCTGATTTGAGCAGACAACCATCAGCTGCAACTGTGGCTTTGCACAAGTCGATTAAATTAGAAGTTGCTCTGTTGGGCACTGTTTTTAAATGCTTATCTCACTTTAATGAAAGCTGATCCAAGAGTTGCAACTTGTAACCAAAGATCGAGGTGTAATTTAGAAATGTTGATCTTGTTGCCACCCTTTGAATGGATGTAATAATATTTGCCTTGTGCAAAGGAGGTGGGGACTGTTTGTTTAACGACACCAGTTATTAGATTGAGAACTGACAAAATGTTACTCTGCTTCGGCTCTCCCTGCATGTACCTGACTTCCTTGTATGGTACGTGGCTCGTGCGTGGAGCAGAGCTGTGAGACGGAAGTGGAGCTTCAGGAAGGCATGTGGCAATCTGGATGAAAAGGCCAATTCATGCTGTCAACATATGGGAATGACACATGCCAGTCATCTATCTCCCACAGCACCCCAGCACGTGGCGCTTGCATGGCCCATGCTGCAGGCCACAACTGAAAGCCAGCCTTGCTATATTAAATGATACTCCATTATCAGCCAGACCCTCTTCCCAAGCCTTCCCATAGGGACTGATTTTCCACCTGGACCCATAAAATTATAGAACATCCTCATTTACAGCCCTTCCTTCAAAGAACAATTGTAATGACAGAAAATTGCCACTTGCCACAGTTTCTCAGTTTGTGAAGGGCAAACTCTGATTTCGTCCTCTTCTCTGTGATGCTTGCGGAATGAGGTCTTCTTGGACCGCAGTGCATGGTGAAGCACCTACAACCTGCCCTGGGGACACCTGCTAGGTGTGGCACCATGGACAGACACCAGCTCAGGTCCGGGAGCAGTGTGAAACACAGTGCTGTGCCTAACAGGCTGAATCCTGCCCTGCTGCCTGGCACATCTATAGGAGCATTGGAGACCCAGGAGACTGATAGGAGAAGAGACCTTCTGGGTTGTTAAATCCAAGCCTCTGTTAGACAAATAACTACAACACGTAATCCCCTTCATAAATGAACCAAGCCTTATGTTAGAAGCAGTTTACTCCCACCAAATGGCTATTCCACAGCCTCATTGCTCTCATGACTAGAAGAGATCTTCAAATCTCCAGTTCAAAAGTATCCCTGGCCATCTATTCTCAAGATAGCATTGTCCTTGACTTTAAATAGCTTCTTCTGTCCTCATCGTGTTTGGACAACTAGTAATTGAAAGATCCTGGCTGGCGCTGGTTTGCATTTGTAAGCTAGAGAGAGCTGTTGTTGCTTGGCTGTGTCCTGGAAGAGTTCTGGTTTCCACCAGATGCCACACACGTCTGTTCTGCGGAACCAGTCAGATGTGGCAGCCACGGACGATCACGATCACGTGGGAGGTGGTGGTTCTCTGGGTAACCTGGGCTGATCCCAAGGGGCACAGTGACTCTTGGGGCTGACCCTTGCAATGTGTCACGTTGCCAGGGAACCAGTGTGAAGAGCAGCGTTGGGTGCAGTGGTCTGGGCTGCTGTGGAGGCAGCAGCTGTTTGTTGTGTGAGTCCAATAGAGTTTGTAAGCATGAGATATTTCCATACTGCGTGCTTGGAAACCACATGCAGCTGTGGTCCTGTCATTTATTTCTAGGTTGTTTCTTGCTGGGACAGGGAGCTTGTGTTCCTTCACTTCCAGGACAGGGAATGGGCTGTGTGAGCGGTAGGTCATGGCTTCCCTGCTCCCTGCCAGCAGGACTTGTCTCTCAGGTTGAGTTCAGTGCAAACGCTGATGACCCTCAAGTCCGGGGGGAGCCTTAGCAGTTGCTGCTGCTTTTAGTGCACAGATGTGTCCGGTACTTGATGATACAGTTGCACAGTGTCTCCCATCAGGTTCTTTTGGCTAATGGCACATGATTAAAAGGATTTCCTTTGGCTGAGCTGAGCCAGCTACCTAGTGTGCGCTGTGGAGGGACAGTCCAAGCATTGCTTTCTCATCCATTTTGCTTGTTCTTCTGACCTGGCTGGTTATGCCAGTTGGGGGAGAGGGTAAAAAGAAATAAGAAAGAGCAAAAAATATCCTTATATAAACAATAATAGGAAGCCCAGTCAGGCAAGACCTTAGCTCCATTATACGTTTATACATTACCTACATTATACTGTTTATACAATATTCAAGAACTTGGGGAAGTGCAAAGAAAATCACAAGCACATGACTGAGCTTGCAGTCCAATTTGTCTCATACTGAGCACCTACCCAGGACCAAGAGAATTGGGCCCCCAATAATCTCCCAGAACAGGCTTGCCAAAAAGTGAAGGGGCAAACGATACAGAGAGAAAGAGGCTAGAATCTTCACCGGCTGGTTGGCTTCTGCTGCTTTGCAGGCTGGAGGGCTGCTGAGAAAGGGATTGTGGTCTGTGGTAGGGAAGGGAGGAGTTAGTACGGATAACAATGGAAATGGTTATGCACAGATTAGCTACCCTTAAGGAAGACCGTAAATCCCAAGTCTAGAAACCCATATAGTACAGGCAGCCGTCTTAATAGAAATGAGGATTAGAAATTAGCCGAGGTCTTTAGTGATATTTTTAGAAGTTTGCTCCTGACAGGTTAGGCAGCTGAGAACCGGAGGAAAGTGCAGTGCCGAACCCTGTATTACTCAGGAAAGGATCACACAGTGCAGCATGTGATTAGAGGCTGGCTAGCTTAGCGACAAGGGGGATAGGTGGGTTAGAACCGATTCAGGAGGAATTAGCAAGGGAAATTGCTTGAGAAGCAGAATTTGATTAGGGGCAGCCAACATGGATTTATGAAAGGAAAGCTATATGTAACTAACTTGCTGGAGTCTGGGGGCGAAATCATTCCATGGCAGCATGTGGCCACGTGTGGATTTTGTATAATGTCTGCAAAGAGAAGGCCTGGGCTTCACCATCACAGCAGGCCTGCTGAGTGGAATGGATGGGGCGAGCCCATTCTCTTGTACCGTGGCGCTTGCATGGTCCCTCTGCCCCCTTCCTCCCTTTTACACCTTCTTTTCTAGGTTGCTTGGTTTTACTTGGGGTTTTTATTGTTTTTTCCTTGTCTTATGGCTCCGCTCTGTCTTTGTCCTTCTATTCCTCTCCTACAGAGCCTGAGATGGCCTCTTGGTGGCTCTGTGTGAGGTGAAATGTCACCATCCACCCCATCTCACCAGCACGGTCTGTCCTGGTGGCTCCCCCCATGCCTCCCACACTGCATCCTAAAGGGGGAAGAAAACATCTCTGAAGAGGGTCACATTCTTCCTCAGCTGTATGGATGACTGCTCCTTGAAATAGGGCCCCCAAGACTCGTTATTTTGGAGAAGGCTAGAAATAGCCTGCAGGAAACGGAAAATCCTCTGACAGCGTCAGACTCACACACCACTGTCCTCCACCATCACCGGTCCAGCCCGGCAGAGGTCAAACATGGAAGAGCCATAGCTGAGGAAGACTCAGCCTGGCCAAAGGGCCTACCAGGCTGGCAAGAAAGGAGAAACCCCTCAAAGGCCTTCCCTGTCCCCTCTACCAAAGCAGCTGCCTGGAGACCTATAGGGTGGGATGGAGAAAGTCCTTGCTGCTTTTGAACGCTATGGTGGACATGATGGGGAAAAACAAGTTCCCTCTGCTGTGGGGGTGTTTCCTAACCAACTTTCTGTTACATTGAGACAGTTTGCAGCAATTCTCTCTCCAGCCACCACCACCACAGGGGTCACCACGGAGTCAGGTGGCACGTGGGGAGTTGGGGCCATTGCCGGCTCTGGTTCATCTCCCCAGACAAGGTCTGTCTCCTCCCTGCCAGGCTGCGTCACAGCTGGCACGCAGCGCTTCCCCAGAGATGCCCATGCTTGAGATAAGCTGCATCCATCTACCTTCTCTTCCCCTCATGCACCCTGAGTTCCTCCGAGCACTGTTTGGCAGACATAGGCAGGTTCCTTGTCTGTGGGGATCTGTGGGAAGAGGGCAGTGGCCTCCTTGTCACCTGTAGGTGCTCACAGCCTCTGGCCGGGGAGTAGCCGAGCTCTGTATCATGGCAGTGGAGCCATCACTGCAACATTAATGTACGGTAACACCAGCTCACATTCACTTCTTTGGGGTCACTGAGCTCCGATCCCATTGTCCCTCTTTTTGGCTCATAATTTCGTACCAGCCTTTTTAAACTGAGTTTTATTTTTATTGCAATGACCCTGTGGTGCTGCCAGATCCCTCTGTGGAAGAGATGTGACATCTCCATTACATAGCTTGGATAAGTGTCTTAAAAGAGACCACACACAAAGGAACCTAATGGTACCTATTTTTATTAGGTTTATTACAGGAGAGGAAGTAAAGCAGTCCAATCTCCCCACAGGATACTCCGTTAACAGCAGCAGACGGAGAGAAGAGATCTGTAGAGGCGGATCAGTTTTCCAAGAATATTAGCTACTGCTGCTCTAAAATTAGAGTCTAGGGAGAGCAGACAGGTTGACATAATTGAAAGGACTGTCTTATGGGATGACATAGTTAAACGAGCCCATGATCAGCTTTAGAGTGACAGCTCAGCGACTTCTTCTAATCCTCAAAGGAACACTGAGTTACGAGGCTGTGATTTAACTAGTCCTAGATCTTATCTTGTGATGATGTCAATATTATGAGAACCCCTTTCTAAAGAGATGCATCCAAAATCACTGAACATGAACCTACTGTTTCTGCAGGCACGATTCTCCGGCAGCTTCACCTTAGAAAGCCTATAGTTGACACGTACCCTCCTCTGCTGCCCTTCTTATCAGCCAATCCTATCCCCATAGGCTGGCTAGAGGTGCAGACCCAGAAACAGCATTAAGAACCTCATTTCAGGGGGAAGCTGAAAAATGTCCTTGAGCTGCACATTTTATTCAACATAATTTAATATAAAACACAGACTAACAAAGTTAGAGGTGAAATATAATAGCAGGGACCCCATAGAAAGTAACCTAATCTATAAGATAGACAACACTAGCCTGGGGAAATGCCAAATAAGAGAAATATGAGCTGAGCAGTTCTCAATTCATAAGTAACTTTAAAGAGAAATAATGAAGATGAGTTCCCCAACTTTTAATATCCTAAGATTCCTTCCAATAAGAAGGGCATTTTTAATGTTTTTTTCGTACACACTCACAGGGTGGATGTCTCCGACAAAGCAGACTGAATCACTCCCACACCAGCAAACACTCGTCAGTATGAGCAAACAGGACTTTAAGGAGAAATGGTTCAGAGGGCCGTCTGGCAATTAGGAATGGGGCAGGAGATAAACATGAGTGATGGAGTGCTTCCAGACCTGCACACTGGTGGAGTCTCTCCATTGCCTTTTGTTGGCCATCCTCCGATGCTTTGCTTCAGGTGCAAAACGGCGGCCTAGCTCAGAGTGCCCACTGCCTTCCCAGCAGCAGTAGCCTGGATCTCTAAGTGCCCTGGGAAAGGCAACCTGAACCTGGGATGCCCGAGTGGTGTTTGATGCATAAAGATATTTTGAGAGGCGCTTGGTTTGCATGACTGCCGTCTCTGCTAGAAGCTGTCTCCCATTGCCTGGCTGGGTCTAGATATGAAGGGGGTGAGGAGGTCAGCAGGGACGAGGATGCGAGCAAGAGCGCAGAGGAGACAGCCAGGCCCCTGGCTGATGCAAGCTGGCCTAACTGCACTCCCTGAGCTGCTCCGGGTTTGCTTCAGCAAAGGACAGGCGGTTTTTGTCAATGCCTATTTTAACTTCAAAGGCTGGGATTTTCCAAGCAGCCTAATGCATTTAGGCACCTAAATCCCACTGAGTTTCAAGTGTATATCAGGCCTTAGGCTCCTTTGCAAATCCCTGCTAAATGCCTAAGGCCTCATCTTCATGGAAAAGCGTTAACTGTTACACTGACAGATTTACACTGATACCATTATACCAGCATGAGCTCTCTGATTCTAGAGTAGAGTGTCTTCTTAAAAAAAAACCCTTCCTAAATGACATGCTAAACTGCAAAAGGCTTCATCTACTGGTTAATTTTCCGTGATACATACCTGTACAAGTGTGTTACATTCCCTCCTCAGGTTATACTGAAAAAGGTTTGCTTTGTAGGCTGAAACTTCCTCAGTTAAAGAGAACAAGTGCTCCTAATCCCCAGCTCTTAGCACTCCAGAGGAAACCTCAGGCCCCCTAGGAAGTGCAGATTTGGTGTTTCAGAGCTAAAACCTACCATACCTCCCACTGCCTCTCTGATGCCTGTTATGCACCAAACCCCCTTTCAGAGCATCCAGGCAGAGAGGGAAAAAAAGAGGCTTTTCCTTCTCCAATACCACTCTGTACCTGGAACAAAAATCAGCAGGATCAAGCCGTTTGCTTTGCTGTTTCTGAATGAAAAAAAAAAAGAAAGAAAGAAAGAAAGAAAAGAAAACTAGCCAAAAGGAAGGAGCACAAACGGCAGCTGAGGTGGCACCAACGTGAGAGGCAGCAGGCCAGGTGGCTCTGGAAAGTTGCTGTCTCAAAGGGTGGGAAACACTGCGACAGCCATTTTAATAGCAATGGAAAAATAAATCCCTTATCAGGTAGGTGATTTCTGGTCACAGATCAAACACTAGCATCTTATAATATCATCTGCAGGTACTTAGCAGAAACCAGATTAGAAATCTCAATGACAGATTTCTCCAGGATAACGACTGTCTTGTTATTGTGTTTGTGCCACACAGAGCACCTCAGGACCTAGGGTACGATGAACCGGCCCTAGATTTCCTAGGCGCTACCATGATACCAATCAGTAATGAAAGTTAGATTCCACATCCTGCTTATTCATTGTGGCGCTGCTGTTGCATTAAAGAGTTTCACTGAAAACTGAGACTCTCCAAGTACTTTGACCAATGCTGAGTTACAGCAGTGCTAAGCCTCAGCATTGGTGTTTTCCCCTGTAGATGCATGGAGCCATCCTTCTTCCTCATCTTCTAGCACTGAGAAACAAACCTGAACCCTGCTAAGTGGCTTTTGGTTTATAACTACAGAACTGGAACAAATCCACTTCTAGGATAAGTGACTGGGTCTCCTGGCAGAGCAGCAGAGGCCAGGGGAGTCCTAGCAGCACTAAGGAGCCAGATGGAGAAGGATTGATCCCATAGGAGAATAGTGGAGAAGGGAAGGAGATCCACTGGTGTTTGGTCCCCCTGTGGGCAGATGGCTCTAAAAAAATAATCTCTAAAAGAGATGGCTCAGAGCCAGATAGTATGGGTTTGTGTCATACCCTCCTTTGCAACCACTATTTGAACTGCAAGGTAGGACTACAGCTTCAGCTATCTCTGTTGTTTTCTAGGCAGCAGTTCCTTATTTGTCATTCCCAACAGTTCGTGGCATAGCCGTGTCTTCCAAGGCACCAGCAAACTCTGGGGCAGCTGGGAGGTGCAGGTGTACTTGCAGCGCGGTGGTCCTCTTGGAGAGGTGCCCTCTGACAAGGACACAGATGCGTGACACTCGGAACTGCATGCCACGAGGTGGCACCATGTCACTGCTAACCTGCTCTGCAGGGTCACTCTCCTGCGTCCAAAGCTACATTAACCTTTCAGGGCTTGGGCCTCCAAGGGGGCTTCAGGGCAGAGGGTGAAGTGGGTAACCCAAACAAGACCCAGGCCAGCCACCGCATCCCAGTGACTGCCTAAAGCCAGCTGCAAGGAACACTGAGAACAGGGTACCTGACACCACATCCCTCTTGGGGAGATGCTGAGCTCTGCAGAGGTACCTCCCCCTCATGGTAGGCCCATGCAGTACTAAAGTCCCCCCTCCGACCTTTTTCTGGAATAGCTGGGCAGCCTTCTCCACTGTAAAACCTGGCTGGAGGAGGAAGGTGTGCGGCTGCCAGTTTTACAGAGCATCCTCCCAGCTGGACCACTTGCCTGTGAAAGTCCCCACCCCCCATCACTCCTGCAGAAATTTGGCTGTTCTGCGCTTGGAGTGCAAGGCTTGCAGAGCTGGGGTCCTGTCTCTGGTGGTCACAGTAACCTGCAGGATGGTCTTCCCAGGCTCCTTTCCCAGGTCTCAGGGTTGTTCCTTGGCACTGGGTGATGGCTTAGCGTCATGGCTGGCTGTTTTTGTGTGCCAGCTCTGCCAGTGTGTTCCCTGTTCTCAGACCCTCCAGGGACCTGCACACAGGAGAGCTTGTTTCTCCCATGAAGCTTGACTGCATCAACATAGTCCTGCTTGGAAAAGTGCATGTGTATGTGTTGTGGTGGTGGAGGGGGGGAAGAGGTTGCAGTGATCCCTCAAGGAATTATTACCTATTTGCACAAAAGTCAGCAGAGAAGTCCTGAAGGGTTCTGAAATCAGGGAAGCCGAGATTCCCAACATGTCTGCAAAACCTGGCTGGACACTCCCCAATGTTTGTCTGCAAAGCATTTGGTCTGCACCCTGTAGATGACACCTCACAGTGCTGAGACAGACCCACAAGGGGGAGGGGGGGGTTGCCAAATATGAAGACCAGGCACTCTCCTAGGGCAGAGGTGCTTTGAGCAGAGGAGACTGTGGAATTTCAAGGACTGCAAATTCCTCCAGTCAGGGCAAAATTTGCCAGTATTCCGTTTAACCCGAGAAGCACTCCTGTACGTGGACAAAGTCCTGTGCTGGCAGAGGGATATTCAAAGCAGAACAGTTGCATAAGAAACAGCATTAAGCTGTTCAATGAACCACCTTGTGCCTATATGAACAGATTGATTTGACCAAGTACCTCTTCCACCTAGTTTGCGTGCAGGCAGTGCATCCCTACCTGATGTCAGCTGTGGACAC